CTGTGGGAGAGCAAAGCCGGAAGTGCAATAGTCTACAGAATGATCATCATAAGAGCTACAAAACAGTCAATGCACAGAACCACAGAGGCAAGACCAGGTCCAGATAGACCCACGATCCATGGTGACCTGTGAGGACACAAAGCACAAAGACTGAGGCTGGCATGCAACAGGTGCAGAGTGGACAGTGGCAGCAGTGATGGCAAATTTCCACCGTATTATTATTACTTTTACAATATGACTTATGTCCCTGTTTGTAATGTTCGACTTCTCTGTATTTAGACCCTTTCAATTCCACCCAGATTAGACGAATGTTTTAGGACACCATGTTTTCAGCAAGATGATTATCAGAGGTGAGACGTAGTCAGGGGGGGTTCTCTAAGTTCATTATCACCCTTGTTGATTGGATTGTCTCTGTTTTGACAATGGGAAGGAGATGTTTTGATGTTCAGATGTTGTACACTGAATCTGAGAAGAAGCATTGACGAGTAATATATTATATTTGTAAGATTACAGAACTGTCAGTTTAATCTTACCCATCACCTAGCACATTGTTCCTGTTTTCTAGCACATTACACAAGTATGATTACTTCCTCAATAACATCTAAATGCATACAGTGCATCCGGAGAATTCACAGCGCTTTTTCCACATTTTGTTATGTTACAGCCTTAACATTTGAGTGTCATGGCAAAGCCTGTGAATACTTATGTACATGTTATGTTTTCGTTCTTTATTTTTAGATTTGCAAAAATTTGCAAAAAACAGTTTTCACTTTGTCGTTATGGGTTGTTGTGTGTAGAATGTTGAGGAAAATAATGAATTGAATCCATTTTGGAATAAGGCTGTAACATTACAAAATGTGGAAAAAGTGAAGCGTTGAGAATACTTTCCGGATGCACTGTATGACAAAAAAAACTTGTCCACTTTGCGAGGGTCCATCGGGGCTCTCTTTTTTCTGAAGCTTTTCAAGATATATTTCTACTGAGCAGAGGTCGCCCAAACTTTGCAATTCTCACTTTATACTTATGTTGCTAATTAACGTGATCGCTTAATCCCAGTGTATTTTCGGATTTCACATCCTTAAAGCACTTTTTTAACAATGTGGATGTAATGTGTAACTAACTGTATCAAGCATCGCGAAAATACACCAACACACATGGAAGTGTTCCACGACACGCCACCAAAAACCAGTTGTCTCAGTTCAATCTGAACGATGTACAATGTGATGACAAGTACAGGAAACAACAGAGACATCAGTGAGCTCGAGTGGCCGACGGCGTATCGCGTGCGTCGTGTAATGTGTTGTTATTTTGCTTGACAGGGTTTGAATCCAGGTAGAGGCGATCTTTTAATAAATATTTTCTTCATACGTGGCAGTGACGTAGTATGTGATGACTTTTGAACATTTTCAGCAATATGTTTGCGAATGTTTGACTAATCAGGTGACCGAGGAAGAAAACATCTGCCGCTGTAGAGGGAAACGAGCACGCACGCGTAGACAAACCAGTAGGTTCAAAAACCAGTACGCACATAACACTGAAACTGCGCACATTTTAACAGTAAAAGTCAACGCAATAGAACGTTTGTATGATAGCACACCGTCTGTGACGCAACAATATCTATAATATAGCAGAGTAACATTAGAAGAATGAATATGAAACGTCATCGTGTGTTAACAACAGCAGTTGACTACACGCAGACACATTTACATTCATCCATGTACACAGATACTCATTCATCTGTGCGCTGTTTGATGCAATATAGTTATAATATAGTAACAACACATTTATTACTGTAGGTAATAACACAGTTTGTGGTGGCAGACTCGTTGCTGTTGGCTGTGATATTTATTTCCAGTATTGTTGTGTTGCTTCAGTGCTCAGAGACACTTTAAGGAGAGTAAACGTGTTCACATCTCCACCACTAGGGGGCAGAATACGACTATTTAAACCACAGATTTAATCATATTGAACTGTTGTTATTTATCTCGGTTACTGGGACAGATGCATTGAATGCTTGTGTTTCTTCTATTTGATATTCTTGGATAATTGGAAACCATAGTCGTAAACATCATGTATGTTGATGTCATGGAGGAGTGAACACGTGTTGTTCATGAATCAATAAATAAGAATAGAAACGTTTTGGTTCATTCACTTTGGTGTAATCGTCACACTTCCGTCCTAAATCAAACTCCCCCCAGTCAGCCGAAGACACTGCACTGCCCCCCCTCGGCCGGACCATTTGACTGCAGGACCAGGAGAAAGTGAATGAGGGGAAGATGATGGAGCCAAATAGAGGACAATAGGACAATGAGCCTAAACATGCAGCCTGGGCTACAATGGAATAGTTCACATCAAAGCATTCATGTTGTAAAACGGCCCAAAGCCCAAACCTCAACCACACCGATTGGTTCTTAAATGAGATGAACAGTCAAACGTTTGGACACGTTTACTCATTCGATTAAATGAGAAAGTGTCCAAACCTTTCGACTGAATTTGGCAACAAAAACATCTGTAATAACCGAGATCCATTTATATTCACTAGCTAACGTTTCTTCATATGCTACCCTGCTATACGCTGGATCACTGACGCATTTATACCCTACAAACCTTCCATTCCAGGACTTTTACTGTGAAAATGTGCACTTCTGATTTAGCTGCTGCGCTTCCATTTGGCTTCATAGGAAAAAAACACAAAAGTGATTTACAAAAAACAAAATGTGTTTTTTCAATAACATGTGAGCTCTCCCAGCAGGTTGGTGTGAAGGTGTGAAGGTGTGGACTCTGCTATGAATCAGGCTGAGGACCCAGAGGACGGAGTCCCTCCCTCTGAAGCCCCTCTGTGTGGGGAACATGACAGCCAGACCAAAGCTCAGAGGTGAGAGGACCATCTCCAACTGTCCTCCACTCTTCTCCATGTCCCAACGACTTTGACTCACTGACTCTGGTTCTACATGTGTCACCAGGACCCAACATGGACCTGGACCCAGCTGTGTGTCCATGAAGAGTAACCAGTCTATGGATCCTCCTATATACTTTAAAGATGTTGGTCCTTCTGTTGATGCAAGGTGAGGGTCTCAGGCTGATGATGAGGTGTTTCTACCAGACTCTCTGGTGGAGGTTCTGGGTTTCTTGCTCCAGGGCCCTTCAGCAGTGTCCAGTGAGGGAGGGAGAGCTCCATGGAGGACTTGGTGAGACCTGTTGGGACTAAACCAAACTGACTGGTGAAGAAAACAGTGAGCTGAAAGACTGAGCTGTTGATTGTCAGTGGGACCAGCAGGACCAGTAGACATTAAACCACTACAGGGAGTCATGTGGTCCACATCCAGACCTCACGTCATGGACCTTTACCTTGTTTTGGTCTCTGTGAGGACGGACACCATGTGAGCTGAGGCTTCATGATTAGATGATGATGTGATGATGTAATCTCAGTGTTTCTTTCAGGTCACATCAGCAGAGAGGAAAGTCTCCTGAACCCAGATGTTTGTCCATGAAGAGTGATCGGTCTATTGAGCATTGGATTAACTTCAAAGATGGACGCCGTTCTTATGACCCAGAGTAAGTTCCTAAACAGTTGTGAATTATAGAAATCGTGCTTTGTTTAAAGTGTTGTTTCCATGACGATCAATCATGACAGAACTCATTATCTTCATCTAACTCAGGGGTGCCAAGCTCATTTTCTCGTTATCACTTTATGTTTGCATTTTCAACACAGATCGGGTACACACATACATATATGTATACACATACATACGTACATACCCATAGCCACAAAGAGAAATGGGGGGGGGGGGAGAAAAAAAGAGAAAATAAAAAATAGAGGGGGGGTGAAAATGGTCTGGATGGCTCTGTACTTTCTATAACGAAGTTAATCCTGAGGCAACATTCATGTGCTCTTCTCCTATACTGTTGTTGATGTGTTGATCTTCTTCCATTTCACCCATTTGTCACGTCATTGTTCCTCTTTGGTTCTGATTTTGTGAGTTAACAGTTACACATGTTAGGTTTCTTTCAAAGAACTGGATCCACTAGGCAGACCGAACTTCAGTACCGAAGTTTATTTTAACACGCCGGTTGATGAAGGTTGATACTGGGGAAGCTGGAGGCTGGAGCTCCGGACGGGAACTGGCGAGGCAGAGAGAAGAGCTGGTCAAGGCGGAGGAGCAGGACAGAGTAAAACTGGGGAAGAAGCAGACGGCTGGGAGTTAAATCCTGGACAGCAATACCAGTACTAATAGTTAAGCAACCAAAATACTATTTGAAAGAACAGCAGTCGGGAAGATTATTACCACAAGAGTAACTGACGAACTGGCGAAGACTGTAAAATCAGACTGGGCTTAAATACTTGAGGCGAGTAGAGGCAATCAAGAAGATCAGCAGCAGGTGGCAGGAATTGCTGGAAGATCTCATCTAGACCAGCTGACAACCGGGAGGGGGAGGGGAGAAAAAACTCAAAAGACCGACAGACCCAACACCATATCGTATAGTTCAGTCGCTATCTTCATCAATGCCTCTATTGTTGATGGTTCTTTCCTTTTCCATCTCTTTTTAATGGCCTTTTTGCTAGCTGTTAGCAGGGGTTTCAATAGATACCTGTCTTTTCTACACATCATCTCCTATAATATTACCATGGTAAAGAAACATACATGATTTAGGTACGTCATAGCCCAGGATTCTGACAATGGTGGAATGAACCTTTTCCCAGAATTCAGTCATTTCTGGACAAAACCAAAATACATGGGAGTGGTTTACATGTACTGCCCCACAATTCCTCCAACATGGTTGGGCATTAGACAGACATCTGCTTGTGATTTGGGGAGTAATAAAGAATCTGATGACATTTTTACAACAGTGCTCCCTCCACATTCATGAGGATGTTGAGGATCGTTGTGTCCTCCAAATATTTAACCATTCATCATTTGTGATTTTCACTTCAAGTTCTTGTTCCCATTTTAGTTTTACATAACATGTTGTTTTTCCTAGATTTTCCATCAGTTGATGAAGGACTGTTTGACTCTGCAATTCCATGAAAAAGCTCTTTACATGCCTTTATCAGACTCTTATACTGTAAATGGGTGTACGTTGCTAAACATTTTCAGTTCTGCAATGTGCTTCATAAAGTGTAAAGTATAATATACACCAAAACAGTCATTAAAAAAAAAGGTAATCATCAATTTTTAAATTTGGACTTGGAATGGGTTTTGTGAGGGACAAATGCTCTTTGTCTATTTAATGATTATACAGTGTTGGATGTGTGTATTTAACATGAACAGTTATTGGCTGTGAGGCAAGAAACAGTGCGGACTTCAAAAGCACATTCAGTTTGACCTTATCTATTCCAGTCATGGAGAGATTTGGCCTGCCACCTGATGCAAATGTTATATACAAGGATGCAACAGGGACAGAAGTTGATGCAGAAATATTCAGCAACCTCGTTGGACAAGGCAATGTGGTCCTGACAGTTTTCTCAGATCAGGATGAGATATCAAGGCAGGTATAATAAAGCACTCTACCTTAGTATATAATTTAATAATTTAAATGTTCTCTATTGCTTTAGAATTCTCTGATTTCTCCTTGTCTTCTGAGACGTCTGACTCAAGCTTCAGCTCAAGTGCATCAACTATAATCCTAGATGTTCCTAACAAGAGACAAAGAATTGAGGCTACACGTGATGCTGTGTCTGCTAAACAGGTTGCTTAATGCTTTCACATGTTTTCACTCTGAGTCACTAGAAAAGCTGTTTATCACTATCTTTTGTAGTCTCATGTTTTTGTTATTTATTAGTAATAGAGGCAAGTCCAGAGGTGAACAGAAACCCTAACAGATGCTGCAAGAAGACAAATGGTTGATATCCCGGTGGCTCACATGATTGACAATCATGGGTATGTTTCTTTCACGTTGTTTTTATTTGTTTGTAAATGTAGTAATTTACTAATTTAATATCTCCTCTCAGGCACTGCCCCACTAAAACAATCAGAGAAGATTATGCACGTGGGATAGTGATGCTGTTCCCTTCCCTTAAGGATCCATACTCAAAGTAGGGCTATGTAATAGGCATTATTATTGTTTAAACTTCCATGTCATGTTGTGACCCAAAACTGTGTGGATGACATTGATATTTGATTTCCGTGAGATTTCTCATGAGCCTGATATTACAACACATTTCTTTTTTTCATTTCAGGAACACTTCTATGATGCTGCAAGCAGCACAGGATACATTTCTTGGCATCTGAAAACAGTCCAGAGGAAGATTTATCAAGGATCTGCACAACCACCAAATAGCCCAATTGACTTTTCTCCAGGAGGCCCAAATTGCCAAAGGACTGTTAATGTTGAAGGGCAGCTTGATGGTGATGCTTGCCAAGAGGCCATGTCTTTGCTTAACCATACAGCAGACAATTCCCTGATTTTCCAGAAGATGAGAGAGACCTTTCAGCATTGTCAGAAGCTTGTTAATGACCCAGGCAGAAGTGTTGATACTCTCCAGCTTCCCAAGATTCCTGGATACAAAAGCATTGGTAAGTTTGGGATGAGATGTTTGGAATGGCTTGAAATTTGAAAGTATTTCCAGTAGTAGTAGTTGTTGTTTAATATCTTCTTCCCTAAAGGTGGACCAAGACTTCACTCTCCTATTTGACAAAGACACATCCTCCAGGCTTCTTCAGAAATGGGATTTGTTCTTCAAGCCAAATGTCATTAAAGAGGCTAAGCGGCTCACCTCAACACCAGAGTCGCTTGGTGCAGTCAGCAGAAAGTCCACCAGGACGTGATCTTGATGAGGCAACAAGTGAGTGTTTTGTTTATTTGAATACATTTGCTATCATTTCAGTTAAACTATAACTGCAATAATATTTATTTTTTTCCATTCTGTGTCTCTGAACGTTGATCTGATTTTTGGGATAAGTGTGACTAATATTACATTACATTACATTACATGTCATTTAGCTGACGCTTTTATCCAAAGCGACGTACAATAAGTGCATTCAACCATAGGGTACAAACTCAGGAGAACAAGAAACAAGAAAGTGCAATTTCCTCAAATAAGCGAATTTACAATTTGCTATAGATGAGTGACGTCACAAGTACAGTTTAAGTGCTACAATTTGTTAGTCTTTAGTCGAGGTAGAGTCTGAAGAGGTGTGTCTTTAGTTTGCGGCGGAAGATGTGAAGGCTCTCTGCGGTCCTGATGTCTTCAGAGAGCGCGTTCCACCATTTCGGCGCAAGGACAGCGAAGAGTCGAGACCTAGTCGAGTGTTTTGCTCTCAGTGGGGGAGGGACGAGTAGTTTTGCAGATGCAGAGCGGAGAGTGCGGGTTGGGATGTAGGGTTTGACCATGTCCTGGATGTAAGCTGGACCCGATCCATTCACAGCATGGTACGTGAGCACCAGTGTTTTGAACTGGATGCGGGCGGCCACCGGTAGCCAGTGAAGAGAGCGGAGGAGTGGAGTAGTGTGGGAGAATTTCGGAAGGTTGAAGACCAGTCGAGCTGCTGCATTCTGAATGAGCTGCAGAGGTCATAGATGGATGACTGTTTAAAACTTTGTCATAATGCCTCCCTGTTCTCATTCAACCTTAGTGTTACATTTGAAGAGTTTTTAGTTAATTCTCGTGACTGTTTGTCCTCAGCCTACGACCAAGAAATGGCCTCCCTGTTGTTGCTGTTACATCTCCTTCCACCACCTCCAGGGGGACTGAAGTCTCCAAAAATTAGTGCATGTGATGCAGTTGAAAGACTTGTTGTATTTCATAAGGTAATTATATTATTAAGGGAATTATAATAATTTGTCATGTCAACTTCTTAGCCACATATGTAAATGAGGGTTGTGGATTGTAATTATGTCTTCATTCCCATCACACGGCCATCATCGAGTCCATCCTCTGCTCCTCCATCACCGTCTGGTACGCTGCAGCCACAGCCAAGGACAAGGGCAGGCTTCAGCGGGTCATCCGCTCCGCAGAGAGGGTGATTGGCTGCAATCTGCCGTCCCTGCAGGACTTGTTCGCTTCCAGGTCTCTGAAGCGAGCTAAAAAGATCGCGGCCGACCCCTCCCACCCCGGACAAAAACTGTTTGTGCCCCTTCCATCTGGCAGGAGGCTGAGGTCCATCAGGTCTAAGACCTCCCGCCACACGAACAGTTTCTTCCCCTCGGCAGTCGGGCTCATCAACAGAGCCCGGTCCCCCACTGCCTGACTATAACACTCCACCGGTCACTCCCCCTCATACTGCACATGCCACTTTAACTGCAATCCATCACTTTGTCGTCACTTGTCACTTTGTCTCTTGTCTGTTACTTGTTCGTTAGTGCACTTCATGCTTAATATTTTTCTTAACTTTTTAATATTTAAATTTTTTTAACTTTATTCCCTTGTTTTATACTAACCCATAGCCTTATCCTTATTCTACTAACCCATTGCAATAGCATTTCATTCCACTTTATTTTATTACTTGTGCACTGTTGTCTTGTCTGTCTACTGTCGCGCACTAACCGGCAAGACAAATTCCTTGTATGTTTGACATATTTTGGCTAATAAATGTTTCCTGATCCTGATCCTGATCTTGCACTAGCCAATACGATGTTTAAATAATCACTTCTATAATGTTTTTTTATTTGGCTGCACATTATTCTTGTGTCTAATGTTCAGTTTTCTGATCTCAACCATAGTCATGCTGCAGTTTGGAGGAGCATCTCCGCAACCAGCAGGGTCGGCAGCCGTACCTCCTCGCTGTTGGGCGTCAGAAGAGCAAGATTGACAGCTTCTACATCACCATGGATAAGCGTCTCATCCCATACAAGGCACACCGCTCCCTCGGGGCATGTGATGAACTTTTCAAAGCACATTTTGTGTTTAATTTGTCTTACGATGTGGCACTTGTGAATTTTTATACATTCCTGCAGACAACAGTGTATAACATTGATGTGGGGGAAATTAAGGAGTCACCCAGAGTTAAAGAGACTGCTTAACCAGCCAGTAGCATTCTCACCCTGTGAGTAAGAAGCTATAACAATGCTGACCTGTTTCATGTGTTGACAAACAAGCTATTTACAGGCATTCAGAGTATTACGAAGTGCGGAAAGATGTTTACTAAAAATGTCTGAGCTTAAATTTCATAAACCGTTTCATATTCAAAGCTCATACAATGTTTCGGATGAAAGTTTGTACATTATACCTTCATTCACAATGTTTTAATTCAACTGACTGCAAGGGAGAAAAGGAATAAATGTTTTTGAAAATGTTTTTGTTTATTGTCATGAATTCTTATTAATATACAAATATATTTAATTAATAAATTTAAAATGAATTTTAACATTTTTTCAGTGTAAACAATTGACACATTAGGGAGTGTAATTAACACTGCCATAATAGTTTAAAAAATAAACTCGGAGCAGTGTTAGTTGTCTAATCCCTCAGTGTTAGTTTAACACTGTTTTGTGAGTTAATAAAGGAACTCTGGTAGAGTGTTAAATGTTTTACTATTTTGAAAGTGTTAATTTAACTTGAGTGTGGAGCTATATAAACTCTCAAAGTGTTGAAATCAACTCTGTGGGAGTTAATTCAATACTGGACTTTTTGCTGTGAAGGTTTTATCCAAATTCAACACAAAATGCTACTTTTAATGACTTTAATAAATTTACTGCAGTCTCAAAATTATTCAACCCCTTCGGGACAAGCATCTTCAGTACTTCAGTAGAGCACCCTTTGAAATGATTCAACTCCCTGTATCAAGCACACCTGGTGCAACTAATCAAGGTTACTAATTAGTTCAGGTGTGCTTGAGATAGAACACATAAACACCTGGTCTGGTTAGGGGTTTGTTCAGAGTGACGTTTGATTGCATGTTAGAAATATGCCTAAGTCAAAAGAATTGTCCTAAAAGTTCAGAGAAGAGATCACTGCCTTGCACAAACAAGGAAAAGGATACAAAAAGATAGCAAAAGCACTGAATGTCCCTAGAAATACAGTTGGAAGCATAGTTCGCAAATTCAAAGATGAAGTAACAGTGGCTACACTACCTGGACGTGGCAGAAAGAGGAAGCTATCAGCAGCTGCCACCAGATTCCTGAGGAGGCAAGTGGTCAAAAACCCTCGAGTGACTGCAAAACACCTGCAGCAAGACTTGGTGGCAACAGGCACTGAGGTTTCAGTTTGCACAGTAAGGTGCATAATAAACACTGAAGGGTTCCATGCCCGGACTCCCAAGACGCACACCACTACTGACCCAAAAGCACAAGAAAAGTCGGCTCCAATATGCTGAAAACCATATAAATAAGCCAGCGAAGTTTGGGAATTCTGTTCTGTGGACAGTGAGACAAAACTGGAACTATTCGGGCCTATGGATCAGCGCTATGTCTGGAGGAAGAAGAATGAAACATATGCTGAAAAGAACACCCTGCCTACAGTGAAGCATGGTGGTGGCTCAGTGATGCTGAGCTGGTTTGCTGCCTCTGGCACTGGAAACCTGCAGCGTGTGGAGGGCACGATGGATTCAGTCAAATATCAGGAAATCTTAGGAAAAAACGGCATGCCGACTGTGATGAAGCTGAAACTTGGGCGTCATTGGACCTTCCAACAGGACAATGATCCCAAGCATACCTCAAAGTCCACCAAGGCTTGGTTTCAGAAGAAGAAATGGAACATTCTACAGTGGCCGTCACAGTCACCTGACTTGAACCCCATCGAATATCTCTGGTGGGATTTGAAGAAGGCGTTTGCAAAACGCACACCAAAGAATATTACTGAACTGGAGGCCATTGCCCATGAGGAATGGGCTAAGATTCCTCAGGGAAGCTGTCAGAAGCTGGTGTCTGGCTATGCATCATGTTTGCAGCAGGCCATAACAGCAAAAGGGTGCTCCACCAAGTACTAAAGATGCTCGGCATGAAGGGGTTGAATAATTTTGAGACTGCAGTAAATTCATTAAAGTCATTAAAAGTAGCATTTTGTTTTGAATTTGGATAAAACCTTTGTAATATTAGTTTCATTAAACTACTTAAACAATTCTTTTGCAATTTGTTTATTGCAAACAGCTGAGAAATTGTATATTCTGCCAATAAACCTAGAGTGCAATGGGGGGGTGAATAATTTTGATTGCAACTTGTATATTATTGGTCTAATTTGAGCTGCCAGGAAGTATGCCCTGGTGTTTGATAGTGACATTCCCCTGTCATTTTCCCCAATCTGTAATGTTTCATATTTGATTCTTGGCTAAGGGCCATTCCATATAAACCTTGAAATAATTTTATCCCAAGCTCTGAATTGATTCTCAGGGATCTCGATTGGAAGTGATAGGAAGAAGAGTTTTGGAAGTGTGCTCATTTTTATAGTATCTATCCGTGAGCTGAAATCTAACAGGAGAACCTCCTAATGTCTTGATCCACTTTTTGTCTAGTTGGCTGTATATAGATCATCAATACTTTTTGTTATAGTTACTCCGAGGTATGTCATACTTTTAGAACTCCATTTTAAATTAAGTGTTTGTTGTATACTTTCAGAAGGTTTATAATTTAGAGTTAAGATTTCCATTTTTGACAGATTCAATTTGAATCCAGAATAAGAACCGAAGTTGATCTCAAGTTGATCGATTTAATATAGGCAGGCATCTGTCAGGGTCCTCCAGGTAACAGATCACGTCATCCGCAAAAAGCCCTTTAATATGTTCATCCTTTCCAACCTTTATCCCATTAAGGTCTGTATTCTGCCTAACTGATTGTGTAAGGGGTTCTATAAAGATAGCAAATAGAGTTGGTGAGAGTCAACATCCCTGCCTGGTGGACCGCTCTAGTGCTGTACTATCAGTCAGACTGCCATTTATATTAATCCCTGCCGTTGGGTTATAGTAAAGTGTTTTGACACACTGAATAGCTTTTTCAAATCGTCCTAATTTCTCCAACACCGGAATAGAAAATTCCAGTTCACCCTGTCGGATGCTTTTTCTGCATCATAGCTTATTAAGGCTGCAGTAATGTTTTTACTATTAATGTGTTCAATAATATGTAGTGTTCTCCGTATGTCATCCTGGGTTTGGTGCCCCTTGATAAAGCCTGTCTGGTCCTCATCTATAATGTCCTTCAAAAAGTGTTCATATCTTTCTGCAATAATCAAGGTATAATTTATAGTCTATATTAAGTATTGATATAGGTCTATACCCAGAGCAGCAATCACCATTCTTTCCTTAAGGAATCACTGGTATTATGGCCACCTTCCAGGATGGTGGTAGTTCACCGTTGGTAAGCGTATAGTTAAACGACATCTCGAGTATTTGTAGAAGCAGTTCACAAACGGATTCATACCACTCTGCTGGGAAACAGTCAGTGCCAGGGAATCTATTTGTTTTTAGTCTACCCACAGATTTCTCTCTTTCTATTTTTGTAATAGGGGAGGTCAAAAGGTCGTTCTGATCAGTCCCAATTACTGGTAGGTCTAGTGTCTCTAGAAAAATTCTAATTAGGTCTTTGTCGGCAGCTGGGGGTTGACTATACAAGTTTAGATAATAGTTCCTGAATGTGTTTTCAATCTATTTGGGTTCATACGATTTTACATTTGTTTCTGGATCCTTTATCTTATGTATCGTCCCGTCTGCCTGTTGTTTTTGCAGTCTTTTTGCCAATAATTTATTTGCTTTGGGTCACACCTCGTAGGAGGATTGTTTAAGAAATCTTGTTTTCTTTTCTATCTCTGAAGTTAGTAACTTATCTATGTTGCCTCTAATTTCTTTGATTTTTGGTAGCAGAGTTGGGTCGCAGGTATTTTTATGTTGTTGTTCAAGCAGTTTTTTTCCATCTTAAATGTTTCTTCTTTAGCACCTTTAATAGTTGCCGTCTTTGCGATTAGTTTTCCTCTCATAACTGCTTTTAGGAGCGTCCCACGGGATTGTAGATTAACCTCACCATTATCATTCCCTTTTTGATATGTTTTAATCTCTGATTTTATCTCTTCAACCACGGATTTAGAATTTAATATTCCACCATTTAATGTTTAACATAACGTTTTTTTCTCCTGATTTTAACTTAATGTTGGAATAAACTGCGCAGTGGTCGGACATGTCTGCTGTTCCAATTTCACATTCTGTAACTCTCTGTATGTTCGTTTTATTCACAAAAAAGTCGTCAATTCTAGCATCACTTTTGTTGGGTGCAGAGTAGTGTGTAGTCCCTCCTGGTGGGGTGGAGTTCTCTCCAGATAACAACTATACCAATTCTTTAAACAGAATATTTACTGTTTTTGTGACATGATTAGGGTTTTTCTTCTGGTTTGTTGTGTCTAGACTACTATTCATAACTATATTAAAGTCACCTCCACATATTAATAGTTCTTCCGTTTCGAGAATGATGCTGTCTAGTAAGGTTTTATAAGAGGACTTTTCACTATAGGTGGAAACATTTACCAATGTGACTTGTTCATTTTCCAACTTTCCTTTTACAATTATTTATATATATATGCCTTTTTTATTGCTGATTTCTCTGTTACATTCAAATTTCACTGAGTTAGATATAAGAACAGTCACGTCCCTTCTACGAGCCTGATGAAATTATCTATAGAATACATTCAAGTAGACAAACCTCCCAAGCTTCTCATGTTCCTGCCCTCACTAGTGGTGGAATAATACCTACTAAACGCTCTTCCGCCTATTCTAGAAGTGTCCAACATATAGCACAGACATGAAGTGTTTCCTCAGTAGGTTTTCTCTAAATATTGTATTGACTCGTAAGTCTTTCCAATTATTTAAACTGGGGTTTGTATTTTGTCAAACTGACCAGACAGAAAGGGAAAAGGAGCAGTTTAGCTTTAGCTCCTCCTATTGTCTATTTCTGTGGGACATAGCCCGTGTCCCAGTTTGGGGTGTAGAGGGATGGAAACTCCTTCCAGTTCTTGGAAGATTGTTATCTATCTGGTATACTTTGTTTCGTTGTCTTTGCTTTAGTGCTGTGGGCTCCGTCTCAACTCTCTGTCGCGTCAGTGCGTTTCCATGGCAACAGCTCAATCAGCCTCTGCTCCACCTCGCCCACAGTATTCACCTTCTCCGTCACCGATACCTTTACCCCACGTTTGGTCAGGTCCCGTGCGGCTTCATCAGGCTCTCTTAAATCCGTAGTCAGGAGTCCCAGTGCACTCGCATCTTAGAGGGCGTCTAACCAAATCTCTTTCTCCTTCAGTGCCGCTGTGATGGGCCCGTACGCTTTGCGTCTTTCCATTATGTCAGCTGCATAGTCGTTGTCGAAGAATAGTCGTTTGCCTTC